TCGTCGCGCTTGGAAGAAACGATTAAACAATCAGTTTTTTGTTTCAAAATGAGTAATAAAACTTACGTTTCTCTGGAAGTTCTTTTAAAAGAAACACATTAAAAAAATTTTTTAAGGAAAATTTTAAAGTTACATTTCTTATTGCCGGGACGATAATGTTCTATTGCAGGTAGCGCTGTTGAGTTCGCTGCTGGCGCTCCTGAAGAAGGCGGCGTTAAAACGAGCTGGAAAAGTGCTGGGGCGCAGATGCTGGTAAGGCTGTTGGAATTGGAGATACTGTTGGAGTCATGCCATGTCTCTGCGTTGGTGTCGCTCTCTCTCTTTTCTCGTGATTCCAGAGTCTCTTTAAAGGTGGAATACGTCTCGCCCATGAAAGTGACACGTGATGTAAAGTCACTTCTGTTTGAAAGTATTCGGTGAAACAATTCTTCTATTGGTCCAAGTCCCCTTCGAGCGGTGTACTTTGAAAACGGCGGCTGGCGAGGGAACTGCGCCGGCACCTTACTGTCGGCTAGATCAAGGGAGGTCAGAGGTTGACTTCCCTTTGGACATCAGCGCCGAGGTGTCCACCATGGGATACTTTCCCACGAGAAACTACTTGACCGTTGAGAGACGTCACGCGTTCCAGACGGGAAATGGGTCTTTGGTGAATACCGCCGCATTATAAAGAATTTGCTTGCATTAAATATTTTGATGATAGTTATTGTAAGGAATTGATTTGCGTAGTATGTCATATTGTCGATTTCCGCACGCTTATACAAATACAAATAAGAATAGTAAATCACTCCACTATAAATTTTGTGGTTACGATAGTCTAGTGGTCATATTCCCGGGCTCGTGACTGTGTGTTATGAGTTCGAGCCCGAGTGCCACTGAAGATCCGCCGTTTAGAAGGGCTGATGCCCGTTAAATCTGTTGAGGTTCAAAGTCCTCTCGTTGGCGTAGTGTGGAAGTTAGAAGAAGGGGCAGCTCAGATGCCATCCTAGTCACTTGACTGAGGTTCAAAATTACGAGGTCAATAGCCCTCGAGTTGCTAAAAAGTGCGATGTATAAGCACTCACTCTACAATAAATTTAAGACCACAATTACTTTAAACGCAAATTCAATCATCATGTGGATAATTTAATTGATACTTTGTTAAAAATAGAAAGTGATACATATTTAGCACATCAGAACAGACTCATATAACTGGCAATTTCCCTCTCCCAATGTTTATCCTCTAATATAAGTCATAACAATGAATCAAGAATTTTTAACGGAGATATTTATGTTTTGGTGACAAATTCAATAATGAAATTACAGAAATGGGAATGCATTTTACTAAGTAAAAAAAAAAAAAAAAACATTAATAAATAAATTGCGAAAGCATGTTTACTACTGTAGATATATATAAAAACAGTCGTGTTTGTCTTTATGCATGCATTTGTATACATGTGAATGTTCAGATAAACATGCGTTCTGAAAACACATTCATAAAATCATTAATTGTTCAAGAGATTCCATACTTTAAAAATGTTTCTAGTTTAAAGAAATTGAACATACATATTATTGATAATTTAGAATATATTCCTAGAAATCAGTTCCTTCCTTGATTCTTATAATAGTATGGATTCTTCCTCTAAAGAAAGATGTAACAAGAGAAAAAAAACCTGGAAAGCTTTTACTTCCCAAATTAAGTTGTCTAATGCAATATTAAAGTAGTTCAGGGGAATACTTAAATAATAATGGTCCCACTGTGCAAATCTTCAAAAAAAAGAATGAAATGAATTTTTTTTTTTTTTACTTATTTGTTTTCCAAACAACATTTAAATAAGCAATGCTTATTTTAACATACAAGTAGGTTAAATAATTAAAAAGGAAAGCTTTGGAACACCGCCAAGAAGCAACCGAGCATTTAAAATTCAGTATTGTATATGTATAAAGGAAACTGAATATTTTACTCCTGAAATTATCTTTGTACTTGAATGTATAATCAAGTCAATGCATATTTCCGAGAAATTTATTTATTTCCAATGGCGGATTACAAGGCAACTGCAAACAAAATGAAAAACAGAGAATATTGACAACAAAAAAGAAGCACCAATCTACAGTATAGTCTATAAATCACATATTTTGTGTCTGGACCTCCCAATATCTGCTCCACATGGATCCACAGCTGAGTACATGGCAGCGTGCCAAAAGTGAACGTCGTCGATTTCTTCATTGGAGTTGCACAATTTACAAAGGGGGCTCTGGGCAATGCCTATCATGTTTAGATGCTTGGATAGGCAGTCGAGGTCAGTGGCAATTTGAAAATCGGCCACAGCTCTATCTCGTGACCATTTTGGAAAATGAAGGGGTTTGCTAAACCAAACTTTTTCATTATTCTTTTGGTTGAATTTAGGGTAGATCCACCTCCTCGTTGGTGCACCCCGGAAAAGTAAATTATCACGGTTAAGTGATCTACTACGTCGGCATTTATATATTTGGATGCTTGGAAGCACAACTTTCCCTTTAGAATCTATTCTACATATAACCCACCTAAAAACAAACCAAATTTTACATACCTTGGAACAAAACAAGAACTATACATTCTATTTTTATGGGAGATTTTAATGCCCATTCACCAGCTTGGGGATATAAAGAATATCCAAGACATTAAAATGGGTTTTTATGACATAAAAATACTGGACACAATTTTACATCAAATGAAGAGCAAGTTTTAATTAAGGATGACTGTAGAAAAGTATGACTGGATACATTTAATTTAAAGTCATGCACGATAGATATTGCACTGCAGCAAAATATTATCTCTCGCAAATTCTGGAACATCAAGGCAATCTTTGATATTTTTTAGAATTATAATCTAAAGGCCGCAGAATTCGTTTTCATTTCCATTAATGTGTCTTGTCATTGGGCTTTATTCTGTGTGTATTAGCTAAGTCTCACACAAAGATTATATTTTGATTATCCTTTAAGGGTTTCCAAAATGCCGTTTCATGTACTAAACAGATTTATACATAAAAAAAAAGTTAAATACTTTATTTTGTAAAAAAAAAAAGAGAACAAAATTGGTCTGTTTCATATCCAAATTCATCTGAAACAATGTTTAATATGAATTCTGGAGTTTTCACATCACACTTTACAAGCAAAATATTAGACTGATAATTCGGATGTGAACAAATTTTGAAAATATACATCTATGCTTCTATTGCGGGGAAGTTAATGTATTGGATCAGATAATGTTTGTTGTCAATGCAAGCAAAATTATAGCCCTTAGGTAGACATTTTGAATTTAAAAATATACAAAATCAACACTATTTGTATAATTTTGATTTCATTTGTGTATTGGTTACATGGAAAATGGTGTAGAAATCAACGGCACAATGCAATAAATCTTTTTTCATTAAATATATTTGCTAACAAAGATGTTATTTTTTCATCCCCCCAGTAATCAACAGTTTTCGATATTTTGGCTAATTTTTTGTTTGAACATTTTGAATACCTTTGATTTTTCAAGTTAATTTCTAGTTGTTCTGTGTATATTGAAAAATCTTGAATGACTTTTTTTATCTTAATAATAGATGGGATTTCCATCTGTGGTGACATTATGTATAGTAATTGAATCACAGTTGTGAAAGACTTTCTAAAGCATTGCAAATAGTATAAAGTAATAAGTAAGTAATACTTGTGAGGGGTATACATTTAAAATTAATATTGCTTTTCAGTTATAATTGCATTCCCCCCCCAGTTTTCTACTTTTTAAAACTAACATCACTATCACTGTAACTAAATAAACCCAACTCCTTCTTACGTAGTAGATTCATTCCTCAAAAAATCATTAAAAGGGATCATTTATACCATAAAAAGGGAGATATATATTCCACTTCATTTCCAAATCATGTAAGAAGAAATAAAAAACTTTATTTAATCCAAAAAAAACCATGTAAAAATTATGAAGAATCAATTATATAAGTTTTTTTAACATACTTACACTTTGTACATTATTTAAATTTATACTAATATTCATTACATGTTTACACTAGTTGAAATTTGTACATCAAACATTTAAATACAACATATTAGATGTAAGAAAAACACATACATTTAACAATAATTACACTCATACATGTTTTATTTAACAAGTTAAAATGTATATGAAAGCAAAAAAGTATGCACATGCAAAAATAAATTTTGTATTTGTCTCTTAATTGTATTTGCAATTAATATTTTTAATACGTTTCCTTGGTGATCTTTCTGACTTCCTTGCAATACAAAGGTTAAAATGGGAAGGACACCTGATAAAATTGGATGACAATTGAGTTACGAAAAAGATCTGAAAACTATTAATGTCAGAAACTGGAAAAGTCAGGTCAAGAACAGGACACTTCTGGAATGGAATTGTTAGGAAGGCCAAGGCCCACCTTGGGCTGTCGTGCCATTGAAGAACGAAGAATCTTTCTAACTATCTACCATTCTGATTTTTTCAAAATTATATTAACATAAATTACAAATGCGATTTTTTTCCTAATATACTAATTAGACCACTTTTTACTAATTTTATTTCATGTTAAAAAAATGATGGAATTCTTGATACTTAAATTTCAAATGAAACCAGTCCAGGATTAATTAAAGACATGGTTATAAAATAAAAGAATCATCAATACATAGTTTGTAATTCTGAAGAGATATTTATAATTATCGTGAGAATTATGAATGCATTGTATTAATTTATTTCAGTTGTGAAACATTTTTTCAATTCCTACTATTAGTTCACTCTCTCCCTATATATATTTATTTATATATAAATTTATCTTGTACAAATTTTAAATCATTAATAAAATACTTTCTACATATCCATTCAAGTTCAAAAACATTTCTTAAACTTCTAGTGGATGACACTTGATGTTAATACAGTTTTTTCAAATATTAATTCATTAATTAAATTAAAAAATGAATAAATAGTAACAAACAAAAATAATAGTCAAACAGCATTTATAGAAAGGAAAATTGTTTATAGTGTCCCTGTAGCACAATGGATAGCGTGTTGGACATCTAATCCAAAGGTCGTTGAAGGAATCCCTCCTGGGATGTCCTAATTTCTGGGAATGTGATTTCTTTTTGTGCTATTTTATTAGAATAATTACATTTAATTAATGAATAAATAATAACAAACAAAAACAATAAAGTCCAACACCATATATAGAAGGTGTGGAATGGAAAATTGCAAAGAAAATAGCTTTCTATTTTGTCAATTAATATTGTGATCATGTCATATGTATATACATATTTATATTAATTGTAATTATTTAATAAAAACTAAAATAAAATTTTTCTTTATTGACCTAAGTAGGAATTGATTTAAATTATTTTTTTTATGTAACTTGTTACAAAATAAAAGGTACAAAGCTAACTCGAGAATGATCACAAAAATATGCATTGGAGAATGTTGTACATTTTAAAATAAATAAATACTGATAAAATAAAATAAAATTTTTGGAGAAGCTGGGCATGTCTTTCAGGGATTTGATTGTTTACCAAATGAATTCCAACTCAGTAACACCTTATTTTTATTAAAATGTTTCAGATACATATTTCTCCTGATTTTTTTTTTTTTTTTTTGTCTTCCAAACCATTACATTTAGTTGTTTAAGGGAACACAGTATGATTCAGGTCAAAAACTTAAATTAAATTTTTTCAGCCTAAATTATTCATTATATATTTTTGAATAAGATTTATAGAGTAATCTATAATCAAAATAACACAGTACAGCATCAGTTGGTAAAACATAGTTAATGAGTTTTTTTTTATTCAAAAAATAATTTTTTTAAAGGGAATTTTCAGCATGAAAGAGTGTTTACTTTAATTTGGAACTCTCTTATAAACTACATCGAAAGTCTATGTTATACAGTTTAAAAAAACAATCATTACACATGAAGGAATATATTAAGTTTTTATTTTTATAATTTACTTTAAACAACAGTTTGCATATATCTAACAGATAAGGCAATACAAAATTCCATTAGAGTTGTTCAAAAATAATGAAATTATTTAAAAATGGAATTACTATTTACAAACAAGTACACTTTTATTTCTTAATGCAGCATATTTTAATATTGGAATGCAGTATCTCTTTTACAAAATATTCTTATAAAAATATTTCCTTCCTCTGAACACACTTTCTGAAGAATAGGAGAAAAGCTTCAAATAAGAATTCCCGAAGGATAACTTTTATTATTACATTCTCTAACATTTTTATTATATACAATATATCATAAGGCTTGTATATATAAGGAGGGAAAAAAGAATATATATATATTTAAGCAACAATATAATAATTTCTTGTAAATTCTGGTTCAGTGATGATTTAAAGCATAAAAAACTCTAAATTTTGGGATGAACTCGTTTTACAAAATGCACAAATGCAAATCATTAAGATTATATTGCTATTCACAAACAAATTTTTTTTTCATAGAATTTTAGCAGGTGAATCTACAAAATTTAAAAATACATTACTGATTGCTATATAGCATATTAATATATGTATGACAATATCAAACATTTCTACAGCGATATTTTATTTTCAAAACATAATATTTCATTAACCCTCCTCCAAAAATATTCACATAAATTATGATTTTAAGTTAGGTAACAATAATTCAAATTGATTTTTTAAATATCATAGCATAATTAACAAAATATAACAAACTCTTTTTAAGTGCTTGATTTAAGAGAATAAAAGAAAAATATGTATAATTATTTATCCATATATTTCCACTGAAAAGCTTTGATGTAAAAAATACATATCAGGATTTTGCAGGCTTCACAAAAGTCAGAACAGGCCGTGTTGCAGTTTTCACTGTGCCCTTGGGTACAACAGAACGAGCAAGCTTTTCACTATCACTACTACTACAACTAGATACTACTTTATGCTCCCTGTGTACAACCATATGTTTCTTCAAATTGCTTAATTGATTGAATCCTTTCCCACATACAACACAATAGAATGGACAATTATTATTATGTATCACCAAATGTTTTCGTAAGTTACTTATTTGATTGAATTTTCTTTTACAAGTGCTGCATTCAAACGGACACTCACCTGTATGTATTATAGAATGTCTTTTTAAGGCAGCTTTTGTTTTAAAATTCTTATCACATTGTTCACAACTAAAAGGACGCTCACCTGAATGTGAAACCATGTGCCTTTTTAAGCTACTAGATTGATTAAAATGTTTATCACAGATTGTGCAAAAAAGAGATTTTGCATCATACTTAACATCGTCCTGTATAGATTCTGTCACATAACTATACCTGTAAGAACAAATAAGGCAATCAAACTGTAGATCAATATCAGGAAAATAATCTTTATCAAGATTCTCAACTGCTTTCAAATTATTTCCACAGTTTGGACATAGTTGCGACGTAGGAACAGACATCACCTTCAAAATGTTCACAAAAATATACTTCTAGACTCTTTGATCTATATTCATGTAAGTACCTAAAAAAGATTTTTTTTTGTAATAGAAGCTAAAAGTAATTTCACAGAACTAAGCAAACATAAAAATATTAGCACTTTTATGAATAGAGGCAGTCATACCATAAATTTTTGGTGCCCGATTAGTACATTTTAACTTTTTTTTTATTAAATCATGTTTGGAGAAAGTATACAGAGAAAAAGAGAAAGTATACAGTGATCTTGACCACAAGGCTACTGCGGCCACTTGATACATTTCAGTTTCATTCTATGTCTAAAACAATGGGTATCAAGCCAAATCCAATTAGAATTCTAGGATGAAATAGCAAAGAAAAAAAAGGCAATGTTATGGTTTTAATAAAAAAAGTACTAATTCACATACATGATAAAAATTTGATGAGGATAATAGAAACTATTAGTTATAAGTCAGTAAATTTAAAAAAATAAAGTATTCATTTATATTTTTTATAATGATTATTGAATACATAAACAATACATCAAGACAAGGATGAAAATTAGATTGATACACTTCATTGAGTGAGTGAATGAAGATTAAGATCACACTTTTCAGCTACATGAGGGCTTTTGGTGAAGGACTTCATAATTTTGAACCACGGTCAAGTGGAAAAGGACAACACTTGATACCCTCTCTTAACTTCCACACCACCACACCAATGGGAGAATATTTGAGCCATAACATCAGTTCTCCATATAAAGTGGGTCTTCAGCAGCACAAGGTTTGAACTCATGACAAACTGGCAATGAGTCCATGATCTTGACCACAAGGCTACTGCGGCCACTTGATACATTTCAGTTTCATTCTATGTCTAAAACAATGGGTATAAAAGTTGAAAAAAGTATAAACACCTATTTATTTTAAGTTTTTTTTCTAAAACTATATGAAGTGTAGCTATTTTTATTATATACGTAATGGATACTTAGGATACAAGTAAATCAAAAAATATATTTAAATATAGCTTAGAATCCAAAAAAAAAAAAAAAAAAGGAGAAAAAGTGACCTTACAAAATTTGCTTAGGACCAGCAATACCTGCATTAAAAATTATTGATTAGAACAGAAAAAAAAAACTGGGACATTATTAAAAATTAAATGTTAATTCAGTGTTTAAAAAATCCCACTTCTATCTTCAAAATATCCACATAAAAATTAGCAAGAGTCATAAATATTTTTTTAATTCCCAATGGAGTTGTGAAGTGGTGTTTATGATTGCAAACCTTATACATTCCCTGAGAGCTGGTATCACTTTTTAGTGCGGCCCCATATAGGTGGAATATCAATCACCCCAATGTTATTTTGATGTCCAGTTTTCCTTCGCAGAAGGATGTGGAAACTGACAATGCAAAATGGTACTAGGAATTAAATTTTGCCGAGAGCACCCAAACCACTCTAGAGTTCCTTAACATGCCACATAATCATACAACATGGATGCAGTTGATTTTCTGCATCATGAAAATCCACTGACTTGGGCCAGTGTCGAACCTGCAAATTTGAGCATACAAGGCCAGAGACAAAACAACCATGCCACAAAGCCAGTAGTGTAGTAAATATAAAAATCAAGCTTTTGTGAAGATCAGATATAAGTATGACACAAGATAAATTTTAATGATATTTAACAAATTTGAAAAGGAACTATTATGCATTACAAAGTATAGCAAGAAAATTAATTTCATTAATACCAAACTTTAATTATGTTATATAATTAAGCTGCTCAGAAAGTAATAATATTTTTAGATGAAAGATAAAATAAACATGGAAAGGACTGTAATAGTGTTGTGATGTTGGAGAATCACAAAAATATTTTATGTAAGAAATAAAAAATTTGAATATTTACTAATTATTTTAAATATGGCAGTATGACATATGATGAACTATTTTATTAAAATTGTTTTAATTGGAATTCTAGGAGGAAATATTATAGGAAAAAAGGCCAATGTACATCTTTTATGGAAAAAATACTAATTTTAATCAATAATTCTTTAAATAAAATTTATGTATATTTTATTTTTATCAGAAACCAATGTTCATTTTAAAAACAGCAAAACATGATCAGTGATTTAATTTCTTTCATTTCTATATAACCATGGAAAATATTTTATGATAATTAATATGGTAATATTTAGATAAAGTTGTAACAAGTCAGATTTATTAATAGATAATTACAAAAATTAGCCAATTCTTTTGTATTAAAATTGGACAGCCTTCAATCTTTAGATCACAAAATTAAACTGATGAATAATAATCTGTACTGCTTTCAAAAGAAATGATTAAGTCTCCTAAAAAATACAGAAATTTTAAATCATTTTACTGTGATGAAATACAGCTGCACAAATTGGTTATTTCTCTACCTATCAAATATAGCTTGAAAAATTATTTATATAATCTGATAGCCTAATAAAAGAATCAAAATCAAAATTAATTCATATTCATTTTAGTATTTCTTTACTGTAGAAAAAAATACACAACTCTTGAGACTCAACTTAATTTACGTTTTTGTCTGTGATTAAATTATAAATTTTATTTATTTCCAATCTATGTTTAATACTAAAAATGTTTACTTAAATTAATCGAAGAATTGTTTTTAATGAGAAATGCATAT